TACTCGTACTCAGTGTGACTTGCTGTTTTCGGCATTCGGGAATCCAAGACTTCGACTTTGTGCCTTGCCACTGTGTCTGCGTCCGATCCTCAGTCCGAGTCCGTCGTGTCGAGTGAGTGAGWGTGTGTGTGTGCTCTCACTCTCCCCCTCTCTCTCCTCTCCCTCGGCTCACCCTCAGCCTCACGCTCGTTACAGCGCTGCTGTAAGCTGGGTGAGGCGCAGGGTGGTCCTTGGGTGCTAGTGGCATCTGTGAGTTGGGGAACGAGGTTGTGAGTGTAGCGCAAGACATACCTGGTGCTGGAAGCGTGCGACATTGGTCGCCATATGCTCGTACTTCGGGAATGCTGTTGATGTCATCTTTCGGCTTCGTAGTATAGGCTAGATAGGATCTGCCACATGTAGTCTGGGCGCCGAGCGCCAGATAGGATATCAACTCTGGTTCTTCGTTGATGATGATTGGGACTATTTCAGCATTGTCAATTATGAACTCTTGGTGTATTCTTACTTGGTGAATCTCGTGACGCAATTCTGCTGTTGGTTCGAGGTCAAGACTATCTGGACTCATATGTATGATGCTGTTTGATTGCTGAAGTTCGCTATTGCTCATCTTCCTTGCACTAGTGCCACCCCATGCATTGGGCCCTTTCGATGCCCTGTCCCGAGCCTTCAAAAATTTAGGAGAGGCTCAATCAGATTCTCAACTTGGCTGGGGCAATGCTTGCCACATGATGCAGGCTGAGCAGAACCGTTGTCATCAAAACGAAAGTTCAGAGTGTTCAGACCCAAGTCAATGAAGGGAAAGCTCATCATGGTGCTGGCACTGTATGCATTATGATCAGCTCAAAAGTTCATCGCCAATGCTATGAAAGAAAGACGACTAATCGCAGCAACCATATCTCACCTCTGCATTTTCCAGCCTGGGTATTAAATCCTTCAGAGTACGGATCTGATCAAGATTCTCTCTTACACCTGCATTCTCAGCACCCTGCGTTCCAAACCCGAACGAAGCGATCCATAGACAGAATTAGTATTTTAGTAATTTCACTTTTGTTGCATTGCGGAAACATTCTGGCTCTGAGAAAAGCCCACGGCTGAACAGTCATGGCATGGTGAATGAGAAACAAAAGCCAATCTTTCAAAGTTGTTACCTGGATAAATCTACTGGTGCAAAAAACCAAGGAGTGCAAGGTGCAAGGAAAGCAGGACCTGATACGGCCTGCCATGGTCGACCTGAGCACCTGGAGGCCCTGATATCGGGTACTCAGGTCTACCCCCAGTCGGCCGTCGCACAGAGAGTCTCTGGGTAGTGAACTGAGAACCAGTAGGGCCGGTGTTGATAGGCTTCCATCAGTGAGCTTCCGAGTCTCCCTGTAGGCCCAGCCACTCACCGGCTCTACAAAGTAGAGAGCCCAGCTTGGGAGACAGCTGACGGCCCGCCCGATCTCAGTAGCTTTGGAGGAAGAGACACACACAGACAGAATGTGAGCGTGTGTACCCGTGAGAGCGCGCGCGCGCGCGGGAGAGAGAGAGAGAGAGAGAGAGAGAGAGAGAGAGAGAGAGAGAGAGAGAGAGAGAGAGAGAGAGAGAGAGAGAG